GATATAAAAAACCTTTTTGCTTTTAGAACAGCTTTAAGCAGTTAGTAGAATGTAATTTGAAGTGTACTGGGTTACTCAGAATAAGAAGGTAACTTGCAGGCCCTCTGTCCCCATACTGCCTGTTTTGAAGGTTGTTATATGACAGATAGTGAAGCCAGCCATACCTGTAAAAGACGCAGTTACACCTACATTTGCTGTGGCCTGTGTCGCCAAACACTGCTTTGATCTTGAATATTCATCTGATGTCTGCACTGAAACTGGTACTTCCAGAGGTGTTTATCTCCAGGGTGCCCTGCATCTCTCACTGGTTATTAAAAACTATTTTTGTGAAAGGGGACCCCCTTCCGTCCTCACGGCGCATGTGTAAAATAACGCGTATGCGCAGTATGAATATAAAGCAAAATCTTGCAGATTAGATACCAGAATTCCTTGAAGGCATTAGTGACATTGCCTTCCCTGGGCGTTCTGTGCGACAGGGGCTGCATCACCACTGCCTCCAGGGAAAATTGGGAAGTGGAAGAGAAAAACAATGTTAGGCAGTCACTTTGGCATGCAGAGATGCATGCTGATTTGAAATTAAGGGAAAGCGGGAGAAATGTCTGCTTTACCTGCTTTTATTTACATGTTTCAGCTTGACTGTTGTTTTGGCCTAAGTTCTACCACTATTGCGCTTCATCCCCAAAGTGTGTAACTGAATACCATTTAAATAATAGACTGTTACTTCAGCCAAGTGACCTACACATTTGATTGGGAAATACTCTTGTGTTGCATGTCCCAGAGTAGTGCAATTGATTTCCTTTTTTTACTAGAACCCAAATCATCGTTTGCACGTTTTGGGGTTTTTTTTTTTTTAATTTCAAACTTTTTTTGATAGGGGTTTCTGGATGAGAAATCAGCTAGCTTGGTTTGCATTGTCTATTGTACTTCTCTCACGCTACAGAAGTTTAATCAGCAGCACAGATAAGGTTGGTCAGTCTGACAAAATTAACCTAAAACTCAGCAATATGTGAGTCATTCAATTTGGTTTTATTTGTAATTGCTGTTTGCCTATATAGATTTCATAAAAAATCTGTTAAAATCATCACTCAAAATCAACTCTAATAGGAACAAAGATGTTTAATATTCAGTCTTAAAGTGGAACTTTAAACTGGGGAAAAAAATGGGCCAATAGGCAGAATTTTCAATGTAGAAGAGGCATAGTCGGATTTATTTACTAAAGCTGGAGAGTGCAAAATCAGGCTCGCATCTGAAGTGAAACCAGTTGGCTTCAAGGTTTTATTGCCAAAGCTTAATTGAACAAGCTGAGGTTAGAAGCTGATCGGTTTCTATGCAGAAGTGAGCCTGATTTTTGCACTCTCCAACTTTAGTAAATAAACCCAACTATGTCTATCGTGCGTTAAATTTTCTTAACTTGCCTGCATGCCCCTGTACACTGAGCTGCATGTGTATTTGTACAAATTTCGACAATGCGGAGACAAATGGAATCCCACACATGTATGGAAGTGACCACTTCTTGGCTGGGCCAGTAAATATTGCCAAAGATGACAGTGGGGAGCTCTGGGACATCGTGGTGCTGGATAGAAGATGAGTAAAGTTCTTTAAACGAATGGCTTCAAGTCCAAAGGCAGCCAAGTTTGTATTGCTCCGTGTCCTGAAAAGGGAGATTTTCTTTCATTTCCTGTTCTGCTGATGCAAACATACAAAAAATGGGAGGGTACAGATGTCAATGGCACAGGAAGAGACAAAGTGCAATGAAAGTTTTAGAAGTAACAACTCTTTCCAGTCTTTCAAATGTGTTTTTGTTTACTGTCTGTGTTCCCACCAGAGAGAGCAATTCCATCACTTCCTGTTTGGCCTGGTTGTAAGTGGCCTTTACTGCTCGTAGTGTTGTGTCAGCTCCATTCTGTGAAGCAGGGCTGTGAATAATGCATCCCTAGGGTTGTGTCAATGATGACCTTGTGACCTGTCTGGTCACATGATTGGGTTCCAGCACTGGCTTCAGTGAGGAGGAGAGATTGCCAGCAATGACTGCAGAGTCTGGGCGATGACATCACCCATGGGCTTACTATAGGGCATACATTGTCAGCTGTGCCTCCTCTTCACTGAAGCCACTGGAACTCTGTCAGTGGACCGGAGCACCCTCAGAGTAGGTAGGTATAGACCCCTTTCCTTTTACAAGGTACTAAAATTGTGATGGGGGTACATTTAGGTAAAGGTAGTGTTTGACTGAACTTCCACTTTAACTAATGTGAAGTAGTTTGAATGTTGCTGGGTGGTTTTCAACCTAGAAGAATAGCGGTGGGAAGGTGGAGGAGCAGAGTGTCTGCAGGGTGCATCACTGAAGAGACTAGGTAAGTATTTCAGTAAAACTACATTTTTATTTTACATCTGCTGCTGGGCAATTGAATGTTTTTAAGGATTATATTTTTTAGCCTAACTAAGGTGGCCATACACGTATAGACACCTATAGACTTCTTTTGTTCATCCTGAACAAAAGAAATCTAATAGGTAATGTAGTAATAAGTGCCTGAGAAGAGAGGGAGGTTTGAGTGGTGATAGAACTTCCCTGGTACACACTCAGTGCATGCCTGGCAAAGAATAAAAGTTGTTCCTACAGAGAGAGTGCTGTTACCGGAGATGGTAATATCGCTCTCATAACCAACCACTAACGTTGAGGAAGTTAAAGGAATGGGAATCTGCAAGGCATATATGGCTTATGTAATTTATAAAGTAAAATTTAACACTGAAGTACATGTGCCCATCAATTAATTTATATAGCACTTTTCTCCCTGGGGACTCCAAGTTCTTTTATCTGCTATAGGCTAAACATTTGACAGCCATCTTGGATATACTCAGTAGAATGTAATACCAAGGCTAAGACAGGAGCCTGTTTAACCTACCAGCATGTCTTTGAAGTATGGGAGGAAACCCACTGAAGTAATATAATGTCCAGACCAAAATGTAGGAGGACCTCAATGCTGCAAAGCGGAAGTGCTTACCACTAACCCTAAAAAGAGCATGGGTATGGACATCCAGTGTTCCTATGTACTACCTTGGTCCTGTTCCATTAACCAAACAGTTCAGAAAATAGAATTGCATGAATCCAAGATGCATCATTTATCAAATACAACTTTAGTTGGAAAGTAAACAAAAAAAAGTCTAAAAAATGTTGTATCTTTCATGTGAGTAAGCCTGTGAAAAGTAGAAAGCATGCTTATTGCTCATGATTCCTTGCTGCTTTAAAGAAAAGTGTGCACATGTCCTCTATTTTCAACATGCATATATTCATTATGATGCTTGGTGTGGACAGATCTTCTATTTTGTATTTTTTAATATCACTTCCCAGATATTTGTTCTGAATGAAAAATGGTGTAATTTTCTGTTCTATAACAGGGGCTGTAATGGTGAAGTTCCTAGCTTAGTTTCCCATCTTTAAGGAAGATAATCAAAGGAGGCTCACTCCTACTGTTTCATAATATAAGGAAGCAGGAGTGGAAACTAAAAGCAAAGCTGAGGATCCCTACTAATAGCATGCTGTAAACTCGAATACAAAGATCTTAGCATTGGGGTCTTCAGGAAATATAAAGAAAAAAAATGGATGACTTGAAACATTGCTTCCAAAATCTGTTCTCAAGTCTCAACAGTGCTTACTTTGTAGGCTGTTAGAGTCTCCTGCTAATGTGATTTATATAGCGATCTGCAAAAAGAAACCGAGGCCAGGTTTGGGAGATGTTATGGATAGTTACACAAGCAATATTTAACTTACAGTGTATGTATTGCCAGTTTTTCTTAGTTTTGGGTTAGTAAATGGTTAAATTCAGGTTATTTTTTCTGTGCCTTACTAGTTTGATTTTTGCATCCTTTTCTGTCCCAGAGGTGCAACAAAGTGGCATCATTTACCTTAGACCAGGGGTAGGTAAACTCCAGTTCTCCAGTTACTGCAGAACTTCGAGTACCATGTGGAATTGCAAGACTCCAACAGCCACAAGCACCACTCCCAGAAGAAGAGGTACAATGTGACTTTAGTTCCACAACAACTGGAGGGCTGAAATTTGCCAATCCCTGCCTTAGACACTTGTGACCAGAACATGTTTCCCCATCAAAAGATTTAACCGTACCTCTTGTTATGGTGACGACTTTAAAATATTGGATTTCCCATAATTTTCTGTTTCAGTGGTAATTGTCATCAAAACAAATAGAGAGAGTGGATCTACCTACCAGGGGCACAGACCACATTAAAACATGACAGTGGTTCTAACCCATCCCTGTTATGCAAAGCTTATACACATCAAAACCAAACTGATTTGGTAATTAAAAAATATATTTTCATTTGATGCAGACTATTGTGCTTGTTTGGTAAGATAAATTAACACTGAGAATAACTTGCCTTATTCCACCTTCTGACACATTGGTTCCGATGGTACTGACTGATCCCACATAGCCTCTCTTTTGGTCAGTCACCAATGTAGTCATCTATAGTGCATGGCTCCATTGGTCCTGCATTGTACAGGATGACGTCCGAATGCCTACCCACAATTTGGAAAGAAGTGAAAAGGAGCAGAGCAGGGGATAGGGGCACACAATTTTTAGAATTAGGTTGATCACATTAGATTTTCCTACTGTTGACCAGTGTGTACCCTTTGCTACAAAGTGATTGCAGTTTTAGTTTAGCCCTTTTTCCATTCAGTCCAAATCCAGGTAGGACTGTCCCTTTTTAAATACTGCATATGATAATGGTGAACTGCTGTGTGAATATGGTTGTTTCGTACCAAAGATGTGAAAAACAATCAATCTCAGCTGCAGTCGCTATATTCACCTTTTAAGTTCAAAGTACTCAAAAGTGCGGTTACAGGTATAATTTTGGATGGTGAACTGCTGCTGTAATTAATATTGATTGCACACTGTATGCACATTTCAAAGCTGTCATTGGCTACTCTCATGGCATTTGTTGTATTGTTTTACTCTGCCTGTGATCACATTTTCCTGAGCTCCAGTCTCAGATATTGACCAGTGGAACAAAGTCATTGAGCAACTGGGGACTCCCTGCCCGGAGTTCATGAAGAAACTTCAGCCTACTGTGAGGACATATGTGGAGAACCGACCCAAATACGCAGGTTACAGCTTTGAGAAACTCTTCCCAGATGTCCTGTTTCCTGCAGACTCCGAGCACAACAAATTAAAAGGTGAGTACGATTTCTCTTATTATGATTGGTTCATAAATGCTTAAAAACCAATGCTTACATTTAATTGTTTAAAAATGTCTCCAAGCAATACCTCTTCCCTGAGACAAGATGTCCTTTGTGTTCTGGGTTGTGATTCCCAGCATCACTCAACCAAAAGACTAAAAGAGAAGCTAAACAATAGAAAAAAATTTATACTTGCCAAGGTGGATGCAGCATTGATCCGATGCTGTATCTGTTTCCAGCCACTTCTAAGAATGAGAACCGAGTGATCAAAGACCACTGATTGCTCAGTTCTTGTCCTTCACTGAGCAGAGAGCTGATGACTGTCAGTCACCGGCTCTGTGCTCTGCCCCTCCAGCGCAGGGCTGCAAAGGGGACGAGGGCAGCTGGCTCAGGCATCTATGTAGATCCGTTGGTGTTGGCTTAAAACTGGTCACAGGAGTGCAGAAAAAGTGTGAACCTCCTGCGCTACTACGTCTATACTAAGAAGATCAAATGAAGCTGCCAACATCCAATCATATACCAGATGATAAATCAAATAATGAAAAGGGAAATGATGTAGCGCTGCTACCTATGAATAAACCCTAAACCTGTAAAAATTAAAGTCATATACGCATGTAAATATCCACAATAAAACAAATAAAATGAATACACAAAGTGATATTATAGTGTATGTGATAAATGCCAACTATATAAGTGAAAAAAGGAACATGCATAAACTGATGATGCCTAAATGCAGTGTATGTGCATAGAAAACAAACCACACAACACTCACACCAATCTGAACTGAATGTCCAATTTTCATGTGATCGTGAGTAATCCAATGATAGGACTACTATAGGTGCTCCAAATTTCTCAAAAAAATATACCACACATAAAGTATCAAAACGTATGTACATGTAACATATATGCAAAATATACCAACCCACTAAATCAATATGTGAAATAACACATCACATTTTGTGCAAATACTATAAAAATATAAAATATATCTCATGCTGTGCAGAACATACATACATATATATATATATATATATATATATATATATATATATATAGCACACCCTAATATAACAAAAAATGTCCAAGATGGGTGCAATACACATAAAATATGAAATCTTGTGAACTTGAGTGATCTGTGCAGATGGTGACAAGAGGGCATCTACTAATGGAAAAAATGCGCGCTCACCTCCCCCGCATCGACCAGTAAAGGGTCACAACACTATTAGGATCTCTATCACTGGATCCTTCATGTGTAAAGCTCCTCCATAACCTCGTCACTTTCTCCTGGATGACATCCCTCTTTCAGACTGGTATATGTAATGCATGAACTGCGCTCATGTGAACCACAGGAGAAGTAGGGTCAAAAGATCTTTGACCCTACTTCTCCTTAAGGACATACTGCTGGAAGACTGTGAACAATATTGTTCAGTGTTCCGCATTCGCTGTGTAAAAGCATACAGACTGCATCTGACATTAGTACTGTTTTCTACATCATTGGAGATTTCTCAGAGACAAAAGAAGAGGTCCTTGTGTCATAACGTGTTCAGCATGAGGACTTTTAAAAAAGCTGAATATAAAGCATTAAATGCAGCTGGTGGAGGTTAGCATTAAGTGCAAAACACCTTTTTCCATGTTTTGTCACTTTAAAAGCACTACAAAGAGTGAAAATACCCCTTGAGTGCCAGAAATTCGGTTGCAATTAGTGGAATGAGCCTACAATGCTTTACTGAAATTCCAAAACATGGTAATCCGTAATGCTCAGTTCTCTGTAAATCACATAACTCCACTCTATGATATGGAGCTGAAGAGAGGGGGCTGTGTTCTCTAGTCCTTTCTCTAGTGAGAGCTATATTAAAGGCTGTGATGGTTAAGCACCATCAGTTGTAGTTTTAATGCGCACAGCACTATAGTGAACTGATTACAGGGCCTATTCCCCGTTTCACTCTTCCATTGAAAATAATAAACTTTCAGTACACAGGAGTAGTGTGGTATTCATATGAAAAAAAAAACAAGCTTTAAACATCTCTTTATTTTTACCTAGTAAATGGTGTCTTCACAGTGATAGACTAGACTACATTAGCCTTGTTTATACATTTTGCAGCCAGCCAAGCCAGAGATCTGCTCTCAAAGATGTTGGTTATAGATGCTTCCAAGAGGATTTCCGTTGACGACGCTTTGCAGCACCCTTATATCAACGTTTGGTACGATGCTTTAGAGGCTGAAGCCGTAAGTATTTTTCTTTTACAAGTTCTTTAAAGCAAACCTAAAGTGATTTCAGAGTTCTTAAAGTGCCATCATCGACACACAGGAACCCCTTTATACTTGCATGGGTGCTAACCTTGGCTATTAAGTAGAAGAGGTGCCTCAAATCATGGGAAGCTGTGAGAGGCACCTGTTCCTCACTTCCCCTTGTCTTCTGTTTTAAGGGTTGATAATGCTGTATCCATCACAGCGATGGACCAGTACAGTGGCAAGAGAGCAAGCAAGGCCATCCATTCAACCAAGAAAGCTAGTTAAATATGTACATACTGGGGCATCTACAGACCTTGACAAGCTGACAACAGAACATTAGAGACTCTTACAACTTGCCATTCAGGACAAAGCAACAGTAATTGGAAAAGGCATCTCCCCTACTCCCATATACTCACCTTGCCTGGGCTGCCACTTAGATCACTACTCCTCCATAGCTGGCTAGAAATACTGACTCTTATGGCTATGGGACAGCATGTGACTTGCTTCCTTGTGCCTGGTTCAAGCAGCCATGTGACCAGCAGAGTGACATCACAGCTTTCCCTGGTTGTTGACACAGTCAGTTTCATCACCAGATGAGAGAAAATATGGACTAGGTGACTTTTTTTTTTTTTTTTTTTTTTTTAAGCTTAAGTTTCATTTTCTATTGGCCCATTCACATGGAGTTTATCCACGGTCTGAGGCTCCAGCATTTAGCTGTGGGTGCATGGGCTTAAAGTGCTGTAACCACCTCCTTAAAACACCTGTGCCGTAAACTCGAGGTTCAGACACCCCATTGTGAACTGGAAAATTGTATGCTAAATCCTAAATTGCAGCTTGAGGGCAGCTGTCATGGTGGGACATATCTACATCTAGGGTCTGGGGTTTATGTGAAAAGTGCAATGGGGGGATGAAGGAGGTGGTTTAATGTGAAAGTGCACTTATCTTTTCATTTCAATTTAGTTTTGCTTCACCATATTTACGTAGAAACGGTTTGTGATCCTATAATCCTAAAACCATCCTTTTTTCTTTCTTTTTTTTTTTTTTTTTTTTTACATTCGTCTTTGGTATGCCATCTACTAAGAATCAGTTAATAGTACAAACTAGCAGCCCTCCATGAATACCATGCCATGCTAGCCCTCTATGAATACTGTACCATTCAGCTCAATACGTCTTTTTGATCCCAGAGTTTGGAAAACATACAGTGTACTTGAAATCATGCTTTTCCTTTTAACCTCATATACATATAACATGTAGCAACTATACCTACAATTTAAGTATACTTTAAAAGGACTCTTACTGGTATTTACGTCTTTTCACATACTGTATATTACAGTACTTACCTGGCAATAGCTTCATATACTTTTTTTTTTTTTCTGAAAGGCTGGAGCCATCTTTGTTCAGGCATCATTCAGAGACAGCAGCATCTACTTCCTTGATTGAGATTCTAGGGGCGTGGCTGTGACATCACACTCGCCTTGTTCAAAAAGAAAATATGCAAGGGTTCTGTGAATGATGACAGTCCAAAGTGAGCAACTCCTAGTGCAGAAGGGCAGCCGCTCGGTACTGGACTCGGAGAACATTTACTATCACTATAGTAATGGCAACTGCCACAGTGCTTTTCAGCTTACGAGGATTGTTTCAAATATGAGATATGCATACCTACTTGTGTTCAAGCTGGACCAATGTGACTGCAATAAAATACATACCTAAACTTCAGTTTTGCCTGTCAACTTTTTAAAATATTTCTCAAAGCTTGAATTTGCTACATTTGTGACACGACTATGTATAATAATAATGTTGTTCTTATTTAGAATTTATATAGGGCCAACCATTTACGCAGTGCTTTACAACATATTTGTCCCTTCTATATTTGTGGATTTTTTCATGAGGTACTTTTATTGCACATGTGAAGTCTATGTTTGACTCTTGATTCATTTTCTGCAGCCACCTCCAAAAATTCCAGACAAGCAGCTGGATGAGCGAGAGAACACACAATAGAGGAATGGAAAGGTATTGTATTTAACAGTATTAAGTGTAATTGGAAGTCATTCTTTCTTTATTACATTCTTGCCAGTATAAGTTCTATTTTTTTATTATTAGTATAAGTTTATTATTTTATTATTTTTTTCTTTTCAAAATTGTACTAAAATTATGATTCTAGTACAAAACTGACTGGCATTGATAGGTGGCACTGAAAGGCAGCTCAGATGGGCACTGATATGTGACATTGTTGTGCACTGGTACGCACTGATATGTGGCACTGATGGGCACTGGCAGGTGGGCACTGGCAGCTGGCATTGATGGACACTGACAGGTGGCACTGCTGGGGCTACACTGATCATCGGTGCTCTGATGATTAGTGTACATGTTCCCTCTGAGGGATGCCGATTTCCCTATTTACTTGCGATCAGCTGTGATTGGACACAGCTGATCACATGACAACCGACCTCTTCGGCTCTTTCCGTTGATCCGCTGTGTCCTAGGGACACAGCGCACCACCGATCACCGCGCTACGCGCCCCCGGAGCCGTGCATGCGCGGTTAGAGTGGGTGGACGTCATATGACGTCCTCCCAGAACTAGAGAACCGCCTTGCGCCCGTCATTTCCTTATATGGCAGGCGGGAGGTGGTTAAAGTGGGAAAGGTTCCACTTTAAAAATAAATAAACCTATCATGCTTACCTACTCTGTGCTGTGGTTGTGCACAGTGCAACGCCAATCCTTTTCTCTGGTCCCCCCACAAGTGCTCCTGGCTCCTCCCCCTTGACCAGTATCCCTAATAGTAAACCGCTTACTATGGGGGCACTGGTATGTGCTCGCTCCCGAGCCTAGCCCTTATGCGTGCATAAGGCATTTAGAGCCACAGCCCCGTCCCTGCTCTCTCTCTTAATTGTCTTACTGGGCGTGATTGACAGCAGTGGGAGCCAATAGCTCAGCCAATGAGGAGTCCCAGGACAGCCGAGGCTGTTGTGTACATCGCTGGATCAAGAGGGGGCTCAAGTGAGTATGGGGGGGTTGTGGGGGGGATGCTGCACACAAGGTTTTTTACCTTCATGCATAGAATTTTTTAGCAGTGGTAACTATGTTGTCTTCTTTTTTTTTCTTTTTTTACTTCAAGACTGCTTTTTTTAACCACTTTAACATTAGAGCAATGTTTTTTTTGCACATGTAAAAATCTTAATTTTTGGCCATAAAATTACTAGGCTAAATGATACTTGTGCAACTCTTTATCAAATGCAGATTTTCAGGAAAAAATATAATGAAAATGTGCAAACCTAAACAATACCCAAAGAAAAGATGAGGTTATGTCCAGTAAATGGATACCAAACATTTCAAATCTTAAAATTGCATGCGTCTGTGATATCACAAACTACGGTGCACAAAAGTCTCCATAGGTGACACTATAAAAGCACTTACAGCTCATTAGTTTAGAGTGAACTAGGAGCTCTGTTGCTGGAAATATTGCTCTTACTCTGACTTACACAGTGATGTCTCATATGTGTGATGCGACCACTGTTTACATACACGTTCACATCCTGGGCGTGTGTTTCCATTTTGGGGTGTGTGCAGGTCAGTGATCTTATGGTTCATTTTTTTTTTTTATGATGATTTTATTTTTTAACTTTTACATTTTATTTTTACTTTATTGCTATCACAAGGGGTTGTGCAGGAGACATGTTCATATCACGGAGACACCAATGTCTCCCCTGCCTTTTACTGCTCCTAACTTGAGCACAGATCTGCTCAGTTAGATGTTCCCCTGGCTGTGCCAGCCAGAGAATGGAAGATCTGAAGCTGGAAGTGGAAAAAATTAAAGAAAGGAAACAGGAGGCACCCACCTAAGTGCAGCAGATAAAACTGTATTTAATGGCAAAGGATTAAAAACACTCACAAGAGTAATAAGAAAACAAGATCATCTGTGTATATTGGATGACCGTTCCTCAACGTCCTACAGGCACCACCAGTGGCATGGGGGATGTGTGCTGGGCCGATGGAGTAGTAACAAGGCACAGTAAGAGTCAATCCTGCAGTATGATGATGTTGTGTGGCCGATCCAGCAGCGTCTGTACAGGAAGGGACCGTGCAACCAGCCTGGAGTGCACCGGCGGAAGTGATGTCACCGGAAGAGGCAGAGGTTCCGTTGGATCAGAAGACACAAACGTTGTACAAGCAGGCTACATGCTCGGAGCCTCTAGCTCAGTGGTTCTTAACCTTGTTGGAGGTACTGAACCCCACCAGTTTCATATGCGCATTCACTGAACCCTTCTTAATTGGAAAAATAAAATATATGATTTTTAAAATTCAAAACATAGGTATATATTTAGGTATATATTTATACATAGGTGCACAAAATGAACAAAACCGTTAAGAACAAAGAACAAAACCATTAAAACATGATTTTCACACAAAAACAAAAACATAATAATGAATATTTACTGCACGAATCATATGAGTGGGTCTTCACCTCCGCCGAACCCGCGAGACTGACTCCCCGAACCCCTGGGGTTCGATCGAACCCAGTTAAGAACCACTGCTCTAGCTCCTTCTATTGGTCTCTTATTACTCTTGTTCGTATTTTTAATCCTTTGGCATTAAATGCAGTTTTATCTGCTGCACTTAGATGGGTGCCTCCTGTTTCCTTTCTTTTATCTTTGCATAAAATGGCTTTGCTCCAAGGATTGCTGCCGCTAATTAGGCTATGTTCACACTAGCTGTGTCAGCAGGCATCAGACAGGCGTTTGGGAAGCATTTTTTAACGCTTCTCAAACGCCTCTGAAAATTCTGCACATGGCAGCACACAGTGCTGTTTACACGGAAGCGTTAGCGTCGTGTCGCGGAAAAACAGACTCCTCTGGTCGAGTCAGGAGGAGTTGAAGCCTCCCATTCAAGTCTATGGTGCCGCTCCGCAAACGCCCCGGCCGTCATTTGCGGTGCGGTTGTGACGCAGTTTGCGAGGCGTTTGCGGAGCGTTAATACCATTTAAACTTCATTATAGGTGTTTGTGGTGCGGTTTTAATGCTTGGCAAACGCCTACCAACCTCCGCAAAACCGCGCATAGGGCATTTTTGAAGCATTTGCGAAACGTTAAAAACACTTCAAAAAACGCATGTCTAACGCTTGTCAAACGCTATAGGGCATTTGGCAAGAGTTAGAAATAAAGTCAAGTGTGAACGAGCCCTTAGTGCTGACCTTTGGGCTGATTGCTCGAGAGACTTTTAATAGACTCCTTGTGTATTTATGAACATTATACCTTTTATTTCACAGTGTTTTATGTCATCACCATCTCCTGCATCAGTTTATATACATTTATTGTTTTCATATATAACTGCGCCAGATTTACCTCTGTGTTGTAAGTGAATAAATGAAGGTCTCCTTCCGCTCTCCCGTCAAGCTAGTAGATGTGGGCTTGCCAAACTAGTTTAATATTTAAAAACCAGCAAGTCTAGTTTTAAAGGACTATGTTGACAGCTGTGTGTGTTTGTTCTTTTACAGAGTTAATATACAAAGAAGTCCTCGATTGGGAAGACAGAGCTCGGAATGGTGTGATTCGTGGGCAGCCAGCCCCTTTAGGTTGGTATCATTTGCACAGTGACCAGGTCCAAAAAAGTGACCCAACTACAATACTCTTAAAGCCACTTGATATTATCTGCAAATACAGTAACATAGATTTATGTGTCCCACTGGAAGCCCTGTATTCTGGGAGAGCAACATAAATCGAGCCTCCTAGAATTCAAGCTAAGCCCTATCCTTGCTGGACATAAGCTTCCATTTAACAGTCCATTATGGGAAGTTGTCTATTGTTAGTCTGTCATTGGTATTTTGAATGGTAGAAGTAGCAAGGTGGAAACAGGCTTTCTGTATGGCATATCCTATTGATCCAGGATTGCACAGAAATCTAATCAAAGGCTCTTTAGAGAAAATTTATATTATCTGTCCTATGGTATATATTTAAATCCCAGTTTGAAATGTTTAGTTTATATCCGCTAAATACACTTTTGATGCATCAAAATGAAAAGCTGTGGCAGACTTAAGTTTTGGTTTCTAAAGAAAGCAGTTGAATGCTTTCTGCGTGGAGTCAGTGGTCTCTCTGCAGAGATCCAACATATGCTGAGGTGCCAAAGGAACTGTAGGATTTTGCACACCTTTTTGCTTTTGAAGCACATGGAATGTCTTTAGCTGATTTTAAACTAAAATTTTAGTAAAGGCCTTCTGGCCTTCTGAGATGGCTTCCATGTTTCAGGGAACTGTTACTGCAGCTAAGTCCTCTCTCTGCTTTCTCATAGCACAGGTGCAGCAGTGACTGACGGCTCCCAGCCTCAAACCTCCTCTTCATCAGCTGACGCTTCCTCCATGTCCACCGACCCAACGCTGCCCTCGGACACAGACAGCAGCCTAGAAACCTCTGCAGGGGCACTGGGCTGCTGTCGATGATTCAACGGCGGGGAGGGATGAGGGATACACACAGATGGCAGGGAGGGAGGAGGTATAGAGGAAACCTCAAGGGGTTGTGTAGCACAAGATGGCGGCAGGAAGATGCCACTTGTATTATCGAAAGAGTACATATAATTAACCCCTTAGCTGCCAGAGAACCTTCCTGATCGCCCTGCAGTTGTGGGGGGGAGGGGGGAGCAAGGTCTAGAGAAAAATAAAGTTGGCTTAAGACACCTGTATGCGCTGGAGAGAAGCCACAACGCACTCCCTGCCAGGACTAAGTTAAAGAGGTGTAGGTTTCATTTTTATTTTTTTATTTTATTTTTTTGTGCTGTAATTTGAACACTTAAGTGCTGGAGGGTTTGGAAAGCTGCCATAAAATATGTATTGTATTTTTATTTCCATTGTGTGAGGGGAGGGTGGGGGGTGGGCAGGGTTGATGGGAGGAGCTTAGTGCTCCAACAAAGAGAAAAGGTCACTTTGGTCCTGATTGTCTTGAAATTTTTACTTTGCATTCGATTTTATGTTTTTGTTTTGTTTTTTCCGTTTCTCTGCTGGTGCTGCTCATGTTTTATTTCTTTGATCTTCTTTGAATTATTTTACAGATCTGTTCCATATTTTAATTATTTAAAATTTTAAGTGCTTTTTTTTTTTTATTACTGTATAAATTTTATCCTCACACATGTATATGCCTGTAGTGCCAGAAAACCAAAGGGAGGCGCTGTTGCTGCCTACGTTTTATTGCATAATGACGCCTTTACTTTTGAGGTGCTGGTGCATCCACTCTTGGAAAGTATGACAATTTGCAACGTTTGCTTTGTCTCTGAACAGATTTTGTTATAGCTCTTTTGAACTTTCGGTAGAAATAGCAAAATATATTCAGGCGCATCAAAACAAAAATGTGTATAAAGTCTTACTTTTTTTTTTTTGAGTAGTCACATCCAAAGTACAAAAAAAAATTATGTGACCAGTGCGCTGCAGTAAAAGGCCCTAGCTCTCCATGTGGATGCAGTAGTCTCTCTGCACAAGTCTGACACCCCCCTGCTGCTTCTCCCTGCCGATAGCAGAGCTCTAGCTCTGATTCAGCAGGTGATGTATTGGACCTCTTCTAAGAGACCATTGCTTCCACAGGGAGGTCAAGGGTTCTTTTCTGCAGCTTGCTGGCAGATGACAGGCTTTTCTACTTAGGCTGTTGCTGCTTTCTGCAGAAAATAAATGGCAAGACTGCACACCTTTTTGTTTTGATGCATCAGGGATATATATAGCTGATCATGCTAAAGATTCATTTTTGCTTTTGAAAGAGGAGCTCCTTTGAAATATATGCCCCCTATCTGGCTGGGGTTCTGCAGTGTTTAATATCCTTGCCAGGTCTTCATGGCAATCTCTATTACTTTGCATTTTTGTAACAAGCCAGACTGCTCTTTGTTTAGCCAAGATGCTGTTCACATGGCTCTGTGAGTTCTCTTTATATTCCTTTATAGACATCCCTTGGGGGTAAAGGACAGATATTCTGTGTTCTTTGCTCTTTATTGGAATATATTAAGTGGCTTGTGACAGCGGTAGCTTGGCTGAAAGGCAGAGTTTGCCTGTTACAGCAAGTGTGGAGGAAGTTCTTCTCAGTGTGGGTTTGAATCCTACCCACTCCACCAAAATAGATATTTTGTGGGCTTTGCAGTAAGGTCTAGGTCTGCTTTTCCTATTGTTGGCCCCCTCCCCCTTAAAAAATAACCATATTAAAGTGTAAAAAAGACTGTTTACTTGCTTTAGTCCCAGCTTTGGCACTGGTGAGGACTATATGGTCCTTCTGGCAAGATCAGGGGAACACAGAGTATAGTAAATCTCTTGAGCAGAAACCCCAACACAGTGCAGTAGCTGGTTTTTTTTTTGTGAGATTTGGTATTCTCTTCGATCCCAGGATCTCACTTGAACCATCTTGATAACTCCCTCACCAGTGCCGAAGTGCGCACATATATTTTTACATATTTCCCCTTACAGACTTTTTTTTAACCCTTGAATGTGACAATTTGGTATAGAGGAGGGAACCCTAATGTAATAAGCAAACTATGCTTTTTAGTTCAAGGTCCGCTTTAAGGTTTTCTTCAAGTTAACCTGTCACTAACATGGAGAATTCATACTGAGCTTATGAGTAAAAGAAAAGGCATGAACAGAGATCTTAATCTGTGAAAAGCACACTTCAAAATAATGAGTAGATCCAGAGATCTCAGCTACTTACATTTCTTAAGCTGGCTACACATTATACAATTTTTTTTTCTTTTCTGTACAATTTCTATTAGATTTACCGAAACCATATAATATGAGGTCATACCTAAACACTTTCAAATTGTATGCAATTAGGCAGGCCCTTGCACTACATAGTTGAAGGTAAATATAAAGGAAATTGAACATAAAAATTGTATAATGTATAGCCAGCTTTAGTTACGGTCTGCCCTTCCACTTCCCCTATTGGTTACTGAGATGTTCAATTACTTGTGTGTATAAATGAAGTCTTGAAGCAGGAAGGGACCAGGCCCAGCTCCCTTTTTGTTGCAGAGATTTGTCTACAACCTCAACCATGTCTATACCTTTGGTCTACATGGAAATCCTTTTGAATTGTGGTTTTCACTGAAGGTAATGGTTGCTTGTGCATATATTTTTGGCATGCTCAGTTGCTGTAACAAGTACGTTTTTAGAAGTAAAGTTCATTGTTCCTTAAAGTGCAACTGTTGTTTTGTAGTAAACCACATACTGTGAAGGCAGATAGCAAGGTAGATGGGAAGACCTTTTTTTTTTATATGTATGTTTCTTTTTCAAGTTGTAATTTGGCCCCTTTCATTAAAGGATGCTTGTTGCCACAGCAATGCAGCATTAGTTGTCTCTTGTACAGAGGGGGTAAAAGAAACAAAGAAACTGATGCAGAGAAAGACTTAAGCTGACCATAGACGGTTTAAAATTTGTCCAGTTCCTGCTGAATTTTGATCCATGTATGAGCAGGCTGGTTGTACTGAAATCAATTGCTTGATCGACTTCAGTACAACCAGCCTGTCTGGTTTCACCATTTGACCACTACCGACTGCTATAGATTGTGATCATTGTATTCTGCTAGCTAGGAAACCTCCTGTTGTCAGAATAGAAAAGCTCCATGGGAGGGATTCCCCCACCAACACTGACTGTGTTGACAAGGGAATCGAGCAGTTTTCTTTCCTGCAACTTGTAGTTGCTTAATGTTTGGCCGACTTTAATGGAAGAAAGAAGTGCTAAAAAGGAGTTGATTGTTATCAATACATCTCTAGTTTACCTCTCCATTTGTATGTGAAAATAGTTTTGCCTATTACATCTAATAGGAATTGCCATGATAGCTTTTAGTGTGGATTCAAACATGTGCAGTGCAAATTGAAGCTCCGTTTTCACAGCTAATTGATGAAGTAGTTGTTCAGCATTTCAGGTCAGGATTTAATCCTGTTCACAACTGAATGACCTGTGCACTTCAAAAGCATCCCCATAGATGTCAATGAGCTCGAATTTGTTGGATCGCACAGCTCAGAAAACTGACAGGACTCTTTTTTTTTTTTTTTTTTTTTTTTTTTTCCCCAGTTTGCACTGAATCTGACTGCACTAGAAATTTGGGAACAGGCACAATAGAAAGCAATGTTCTTTCACACTTCATGCAAATTGGATGTGGTTCAAAACACATCAATTTCACATATGTGTGACCTGGCTCTTAAACAAAATGGAAAGGCTCCTTAGCCCCTGTAGGACAACTCCACTCAGAAATAATTAGTTATTCAGTACAATGTAAAGCTGAACTTCAGGGAAATAGCTTAATGCACAAGTGCAATACATATTTGGAAACTTTTACCTGCCAAAGAATTACCCCCCCACCCCGCCTGATTTTTTTTTTTGCTACAATTCCTGCTTTTTCCCCAGCCTATGACTGTACAGTAGGAAAAGAAGCAGACTGATGAGCTTCTCTAATCTGTGACTTTGGGGGGTGAGTCACCATGGTATGTCCTTCATTCATAGTGTATGTAGAGACCAAGTGCTGATGTCAATGCCATGGTCTGCCCACTGCTGGAGGAGATCAGTAGCGGAAAAGGTGCAGCAGCGTCATGTGATGTGACTGTCAAAAATAGGCTTTAAACCTTGGAAATAATTTGATCACCTGCAACAGGCCTCAGCAGAGCTTAGAGAGTGCATTCAGGTGGCAGTATAGCCATTTTGTTTGGCTTGTACCCACAAAGTGTCACGCTCTGAAGCACAAATTGCTCAGAAAGCTTTGTTCTTTTAATTTTGCTTTCACTGTATCTTGTGTGCTGCTAAACAACAGGTGCACTTCATAACAAAGTCATTGGAAGGAGTCATATGGCAGGTGTTCTTGTAAGGTTGAAACTTCAGTATGTATTTACATAGACTGCTTTTAGATTGTGTAGATCTGTTAATTTTTTAAGGGAAGATCCCTTGATAAAGGAACATTAGAGAATTCTGCTAGGCCCAATTGGTTGTGAAGGGCCCATCAATGTGGTGGGTTTGAGTATTAGGCGCTTGGAAAACACACATTTCCTACAAATCTGGAGGTGTTTCCTTGAGCAACCAGTCAAATTTTTGCTGTTATTTTTGTAATCCAGGTTTACGAATGAAATTAGATACCTGATTGGTTGCTTTAGGCAACAGCTCCTTTTTTTTTTTTTTTTTTTAATCGAAGATGAATGTCACTTATAAAAAAGTCTTGAAGCATCTATTTTACCCAATATACAGAAATGCCATCCTAGATCTATGCTGATCAATGAATTGTATATGAACTGTTTGTAGTACTCAAAGACAATAATTACAGCTTGGGTATTGAATAACTGGGGCAGTAGTGCTGTTGAATGAGGGCCATAGAGGCCATGTTTGCAGTTCCTAATTTTACTTCTCGGCATCTGTGTGCTCATTTTTGCCCATCAAAGTGGATGCCTACATCTCTTGCAGATTTGGCATCGAAGTGCATCAGATGTTTTTTGGGG